CAGGTCGATGCGTGGAGTGGACGGAGCAAGCTCCTATTCCATCTCCCTGCTCCAAAAATCCATTTAATATATTGTCCTCGGATAGAGGACGTATCAGATATTAAACTGATAAGAACAGATACTACACTTGATCTTAGCCAAAAGGCCGAGAAGCGATCGCTCATGTAATCTTAATGGAAGCGGGTGGCCAGGCCTTTCTGCATGGGTTTGAACTGCCAGCCTTCAGTTTGACACTCGACTGCAAAGCATCTGCGCCAGTTTTCCTGGGCAGGGCAAGGGAATCCAGAGAGCCTTATGTTCCAGCATTGCCTTTCTGCCTCTGCCCCCAGCTCTTCTACAGCAGGGCTGGCAAGCCTCAGGTGGCTGGCTGGCCTTTTGGCATCGAACATGATCAAGCCCGACTTTTCGGGGTTGTCTCCCTCCACATCTGTGCACCCATGACCAAGCTGAGGCAGGTAGTGGGTTCTGCCATCACCCACGATCTGGGCAGACCCATCTTTAAGGTCCCCAACTGTTGTCTCTTGAAGTGATTTTACTGTTACCCCCACCCCCACCCCATGCCCCCAATTCTGTGTCCCTGAGCCTGTGGATGCGATCCTGGTGGGGAGTGGGCTATTCTTTGCTTTGTTCGCTAGCTCCCTGTCAGTGTGGAGTGTGTCCTAAATGAACTAGATCACCTGGGATTTATCATGGGAAGCGTAGACACAGGTTGGGGAGCCCATACTGGGGGAGATAGGAGTAGTTAACCACGTGAAGATCACCAGCAAACGGAGGACGAAAAGAGCAAGAATTTCGCTCCCCGTACCCCAAGTCAACAAAGCCTTCCCTAGCACCAGTGCCCTGGATCCCAATATCTAACTGTGAAAAAAATAATCGTCTGTCCTCTTATCCCCATGGGTCGTATTTCTCAGCTCTGGGGTCAGGGTAGCCTTTCATTATTGGGACAAGAGCCAGCCTGACCTGTGAGCCCCACATTGACCTTGACTGGGGATGGCTGGCCCGAGAAGGGGCAGGAGCATTTCTACACTCTCTGGAAAGCCACCAGCCACCAGCATTTCAGCTGCTGGGGGACTGGCCCATCAGTCCTCCAGTTGAGGCTGGGGTGGGGGCTCTGTGGTGTCCATGCTTTCTGAGCCTGGTGGGGGCTCGATAATCCCTGTGAGTTTCAAACTAGCAGGTAGATCTTTGTTTTCAGAAAATCTTGGGGTCTTAATGTCTCAGGGCTGCCACTACAGAAAACCACAGAGTAGGTGGCTTTGAAGGACAGAAATGTATTGTCTCATAGTTCTTGAAGGCAGAAGTCCAAAGCTGGGGTCTTTGAGGGAGGAACTGCTTGCCCTGTGCCTCTTTGCTGGATTCTGGTGGCTATCTGTGAGCCTGACCATTGTGTTGTTGCATAGACACGTCTGTCTCCCTCACCACACATGTGGCATCTGCCTCTGCTTAACTACCCCACCCCCTGGATGTTTTATTGTGGCTGGGGGATGATTCACAGAACAAGGAGGCTTCCCAATTGGCATACAATTGCTCCAATTGCTCCACGTTGCTTTGTGATGCTGAATTGAAACCCTATCGGTGCAGTAGCAGTCCCCACGCCCTCCCCACGCACAGCATTCTTTCCTGCCACCTTGTGGTAGTTATATAAATGTCAGTGTAAGGGTTAAGCATGTAGGGTGGAGTCTAGCCTGTCAATCAGGTCATAACCCATGAGACTTCTGTGTGGGCATAGCCTTCCCGTAAGGATTCTGGTATTTCCTCCTTGGAGGGGGAGACTCTGCTCACACCCTGGGAGACACTGCAGCTGACAAGACACATGACTCACCCTGATGCAGTCCTGGGTGCTGGAGAAGCCATGCAGAGACCCCTGCCGGCGCTGAGATGTTTCCAATGCCACTGGACCCAAAGACGTTCTACCCACTGACCTGTGATCGTTTACATTTGGCGTCATTGCATGTGTTTCATGAGTCTAACGAGGACTTTATAGATTGGTATTGGACATATGGGCTAATATTGGCCTTATGGACTTGATCTGGACTGAGCTGGGATGTTTTCTCAATGTTCAATTGCTCTTGTATATACGTCTCTTTCTTATACACCTATGTGTGTAGCCATGGATTTGTTTCTCTAGTCTACCCAGACTAACACATCCCTCCTGCCTTCTGAACTTTGTGTTTTGGGAAAACACAGCCTATTTGACCTTGATGGTTGACTGTGTTGAGGAGTACCTTGCTCATGGGTGTGATTGTTATTGCTCACTTTATATGTCCGTCTGTTGGCTCTCCAGGGTGGGCCCAGTTCCAGGCTTGAGGGGTGTCTATTGGCTTTTGGGGTTCTCTGTCAGACTAGGAAGTCTAGTCTTTTTATGGTTTTGTTCTACAATTTTCTGTCTCTTTGATCCCAAGCAAAGTGGTCACTGGTGGTAGCCGGGCACCATCTAGGTCTTCTGATCTCATGGTTGAAAGGCTGTGGTCATGTGACCCATTAGTCCTTGGGCTGTTTCCTTGAGTCATTGATTTGTCCTGGACACCATCCAGAAGGATTTAAGATGAGGACTCAGATATGCCAGATTTAATTGAACCGTTAGCTTAAGAAAACCCCTGCTTCTAAACAAGGTCATGTTCACAGCTCTGGGGGTCAGGATGCTAATATCAATTTAGAAGGGCTACGATCCAGTCAAGACTCCCTTGGCTGCCATCTGCGGCGTGCACACTGTGTGGAGGGGAGGAAACAGGATCATCATCGCTGGCCTCTCGTCCTTGCCCGCAGGGTGCAGAGCGTGCTTTCACAAGCAGTGCTTCCAGTCCTCCGAGTGCCCGCGCTGTGTGAGGCTCCTGGCGAGGAGAAGGCGTGTGGAGAGCTTGCCTTCCGCAGCAACATGAGGCCCTGGCGGCATGGGAGGGACTGCTCGGCCCTCCTTCGGATGGCTCCTGCTGCGTTCGCGACTAATAACATCGTCCTAGATCCCGGCCTTACGCATTTAGAAGAAGGAAAAGCTGGCCAAGATTCTCTGTATTGCATGTAGTTGATGCTTTCGAAGAATGCAGATTCTCTGTCATCCAGTTTCGTTGTGTTTACAGATGTTCAATGGTTTTGCTGCTAATTGTTGTTTTCAGAGTTTTTTGGACACTCTTCAATTGTATTTGAAAAACTGTATTTAACTAATGGTAGAGCCTATTTTTGATGAATTGTAACTGCCAAGATGAATCACCCTCAGTCTGTCTTTCTTTAAAGCTTGTTGGGTTAAGCCGGTCAATACTTTCAGTGGGAAAAAAAATGCAACCAAAAATCGGTTGCTCGGGCATTTCTTGGAAGAAGCAGGTTTGTCCGCAAGGTGAGTGTGATTTTTCAAGGCCACTTTGCAATTGGATCCCAGTGCACACAGTGATCCCAAGGTTTGGATAGTGAGCACGTGGTTTCCTGCTCTTTCTACAAAAAGAGTTGGAGCACATTGGCCTTCAGAGTGCTCTGAGGCCCCGGTGCTGCTCAAGGTACCTGCTTCTAGAGGCTGCTCCTTCTAGTGGTACAAAACAGAACCGCACCTGTCGTACCCACACAGGTCCTCGGGGCCACACAAATGGCCCACGCTTAGCTGTTCATGGAGACGTGGTTGGTTCAGACCCACCCAGTGATGCCACGAAAGCAAGGCCTGGCGTCCTGCTTCCACGGAGATTCCAGCTGAGGAACCGTTCTGCACTTCGGCCCTTGTCTGTGACACCTGAGGCCATCATGGGTCTCAATGAACTTGACGGCAACAGGGTGGTTTGTATAGTTCTGTTCTAGTTGTACCCACTAGTCAGAGTGTGAGTAGAATATTATCCCTGCCCTTTATGACCTTGCCTTCCAGATGTTAAGATGAACACCAGGCATCCGGAGACTTAAAAGAAAATGTAGGGGAATGCTTTGGGTGAGCACTGTGACTCGAGTTGGGGTTTCTCAGGGGTCTCCCTCGCCTCATAGTGACCCGATGGACAACAGAACAAGGCACAGCGTGGTCCTGGGTCCCTGCCACAATCCCCAGAATGCTCAAGCCAACCTTGTGGTTCAGGTGCCAGCCATTCTCAACGGGGTCTCCCACATGTTCACCAAGCACGATGTCCCGGCAACCTGTGCCGTTCCAGTGAGTGAGCCAGTGTCCTTGTGGGGTCCACAGGGTGACGCTGGCTCATTTTCAGAAGTAGATACCTGACGCTTCCTCCCTCCTTGTACTCTGGAAGCTCTACTGACACCCGTCCACCCTGGGTGACCTTGTTGGTATTCGAGATGCTGGTGACCTACCTTCCAATATCGCAGCCACTTGCAAGCCATCACCGAATCACAGACTGGCCGATGGGTAGGAGGTTAATTGTGGTGCATACACATGCCTTATAGCGGCTTGATGGGATAAATGCTAGTGTCTCCAGTTCACAGGTAAGGAAGCTGTGGGTTGTTGTTGTTGTTACCTGCCATCGAGTTGGCCCCGCCTCACAGCGACCCTGTGAACAATGGAATGCAATACTGCCGGGTTCTGTGCCATCCTCACAACTAGTCGCATGTTCAAGCCCAGTGTGGTAGTGACAGTGTCGATTTTTCATGGAGGGCCCTCTCCCCCTCTTACGCTCCCCTGCACTGAGCATGGTGTCTTCTCCAGGGACGGGTCTCGCTTGACCACAGGTCCAGCATACGTGAGACAAAGTCTCGCCGGCCTGCCTCTAAGGTGCATTCTGGCTGTACTTCTTCCAAGGGCACTGAGGCTTAGAGAGGGCACAGAACATACCCAGTTCTCCATGAGTGGCGTGTAGGGGCACGGGCTTGCTAGTGAGCCCGCCGGCTCCCTCTCTCGCATCTGGGCAAAGCCAGCTGGAGCTGCAAGGGTCCCTCTGGCCTTCACGAGTTGTCGTGGACTGAGTGTTCCTGCCAATCTTTTTTTTCCCCTCTAAGAATTTATTATTATTATTGTGAGTTATATGGGGGCTTACATAGCAGATCATTATGTTTGCATTCATTCTTTAAAAAAAAATCATTTTATTGGGGCTCATATAATTCATCACAGTCCATACGTACAGCAAATGTGTAAAGCACACCTATACATTTGTTGCCCTCGTCGTTCTCAAAATTCGCTTTCCTCTTGGGTTCCTGGAATTAGCTCATTTTCCTTTTGTCCCTTCTCCCTCCCTCCCCCCTCCCTCATGGACCCTTAATGATTTATAAATTATATCTTAACTTACACTGCCCGGCGTCTCCCTTCACCCACCCTTTGTTGCCCATCCCCCAGAGGGGAGGTTATATGTAGATCCTTGTGATCGATCTCCCCTTTCTACCCCCCCTTCCCTCCCGATATCGCCACTCTCACTGCTGGTCCTGAGGGGCTCATCTGTCCTAGATTCCCCGCGTTTCCAGTTCCCATCTGTACCGTTGTGCATCCTCTGGTCTAATCAGGTTTGCAAGATAGAATTGGGGTCCTGGTAGTTGGGGGGAGGAAGCGTTTAAGAACTAGAGGAAGGTTGTGGGTTTCATTATTGCTATACTGAACCCTAATGGTTCATCTCCTCCCCACTACCCCTCTACATTCATTCTTTTAAACAACCTCCCAATTGCTTGTTCTGTTTCCCTCAACCCACCACTTTCCCCCTTGGTCCCCCACCCCATTCCAGAGGGCTGGGTTTGTTTATTTTTTATTGACATATAATTCATCTAGCATACAGTTCAATGATTTGGGAATATCTTAAAAGAGAGTTGGGAAGTCGTCACCATCAATTTTAGAACACTGTCTTGATTTTTTTCGTCATCAGAACCCTGTTACCCTCAGCCTCCTTTGCCATAACTGTAAGAAACTTAATCCAGTTACTGTTTCTATGGAATTACCTATCCTGGATTTCATATACAGGAAATCACACCAACCCCCACCCCCAAACAATAACAAGATAAACCACAGAAACGCCTACCCCAAAAGAAAGCAAAAATACTAACTGAAGCAACTAAACGACGGAAGCAGGCAGTGCAGCTGGAAAGGAAGTTTGTTTTTGCGGAAGAAGTTGTCCAAGTTTGGCTGAGACTTGGTTCCTCTGTGGTGACGGTGGCTCCTTCCCAGGAAGGAGACGTGGTCCCAGCTGTGTGCAGCACCCAGAGATGGGTCAGAGTTGTGCTCTTTCATGGGGCTTACCATCCAACTTCCCACTGCTGCCAGAGGAATACACGGTCTTTCCAATCGACTTAGCTTCCTAGGGCCACAGCAGCAACATCACAAGTGGGTGGCTTTGAAGAGCAGAAGTCTACTTTGGCACATTTCTGGAGACTGAAACCCAAATCAGGCTCTCAAACCTTGCCAGGTTCCTTCCCTGTTGGTAGCCTGAATGACCTTTGGTTCCTTGGCTTGTTGGGAGTTCCCACGTGGTATCTGTCTTCTCTGTATGTATGCATGGCTCTCTGTGTCTAGTCTGCTCTTTTCATAACCCAGGAGTGATGAGGTTTAGGATCCATGTGATAACAGATAACCTCGTTCACATAGCAAAAGAAACGCTTATTTCCAAACCGGCTTCCAGCTTCCGTCCCAGGGCCTGGCCCTAACATAGATTGGAGGACACCTGTCACCCTGCTACCCCCTGTGCAGCACTGAGTCCCAAAGCTTTAAAGGGCTACATCATGTCAGCTTAGCTGAAAATTCCTAGACCCATTTTTCTCCTGGTGTGCTATTTTTGTTCAACTTTGTCTAGTCAATATTTGACTTATTTCTGTGAGGCTCAGTGGACCAGAATTATCATCTGTATCTATTTCCTTGAGTCTCTCATGCCTTTGTTGTGGGTGGTCTGAGTAGCGTGTATGCCTAGGAGTTATCAGTTAGTTGACCCCCTTCTGCCATGTTCTTTGTTACTGTATTTGCACATACCACACTTGGTTTCTTTACGGCCTTTGGCTTATGTAGAACAGAACATCCAACTCCTTGGTTGAAGAACATTTCAGATACTTTAAGGCAAAAGAAGTGGATAAGGCATTTGTCCACACGTTACAATTTTGTCACATATATCGGACACATCTGTTCTACTGAGCAAGCACACTAGGAATCAGTCTGTCAGAGAACTGCTAAGCATACTGGGAATGAGAGGCCCTGGGATATTATAGCACATATCTATTGTGCTATGATAATAGTTTAAGCAGCTGTTTCTACTAGGAAAAATTTTTTGGGGTCTAAAACTGAGATTTGAATTTTTAGAAATAAGGAAATGTAAAAAATGCTTTGGGGGTGGAAATCTATGGTACTTTCAATACTCTTGGCAGCCAGAGCTGTGCACCTTTGGGCTGAGGCTTATGGCAGGAGTGGTATGCCCCTGGGGCATATATTGGCAAACCTAGTTCCCCCAATTAATGCCTGGAGTCACCCAATTCTGTAAGTGAGCTTTCTACCCAAATGCACTACGTTTTGCTTGCTGCATGGGCCAGGAAGTCCACCAATCTGTGCGCCCTGGCTCTTGGTTCTGTCTGGCACCACAGCTTCCTGTGCCTCGATCAAGGTGGTTCAATGCACAGGGATCATAGAGTCTAAGTGAGGCTCTTCTAGGTGATAGATTCTCTCCAAAGGATGGCAAAATGAACCAATCCTCATCCTCACCCCCTAAAAAAAAACCACCTCATTGCCATGACATCAGTTCTGACCCATCTCAACCCAAAGAGACGGAGCTGAACTGCTTTTGTAGGTTTCTGAGACTCTATACGGGAGTAGAAAACCTTTTTCCCACTGGTGGTTTTGAAATGCTGACACCCTATTGCAAACACTGTAAAGTACTCATTAGAAACATCCATCGTTATAGTACTGGTCTCAAGTAGAGCTTCACTCAGAAAGAGCCCTAGTGTGATAGTAGAACTCTGCTCCTTGGGTTTTCAATGCTGACTTTTTGGAAGTAGGTTATCGGACTTTTCTTCCGAGGTGTCTTGTAGTAGATTCAAAACCAACAAAATTTAGTGAGCAGCTGAGCACACGAACCATTTGCACCACACAGACACTCCCCAAATCCAGGCTCCAGGAAAGGATGGACTCTCAAGTCAAATGCTTCAACAAGCCGATGGAGCAATGGAAGTACTTGTTTTTGCCAGGAAATTTTAAAGACAACTACTTGGCCAACTGACAGGAGGAGATTTCTATTTGTTCTCATTGCACGGAAAGGGGACCCAGCAGAATACACAAGTTACAGGACAACAGTGCTAACACCGACAAGTCAAAGTTGCTGAAGGTC